TTTTATCGTGAGTTTTGAAATTTGGGATTAAGTCTTCGTAATGTTAAAATTTAGATAGATAGATAGATAGATAGATAGATAGATAGATAACGTTTTTTAAATTAGAACATATTTAATCAATATTTAACCTAAGAAAAACCCTTAAACAACTATGTGTATTTCATCAACTTTAATTGTGTAAAATATGATCCCATAGTCTTGGCATTAAGTAATTGACGTAGTTACCCCCTTAAGACTCTTCGCTAAACCGTTCTCTGTCAGGGAATGGTTTAAGGAAATGGTGGCGATAACTGAACGGAACGTCGTTTTCTGTGATCGTTGATGGGCTCAGGGAATATACCAGAGAAAACCTGTAGGTATTATTTTTTAAGGTGTTCAGTGATTATCTGAAGTATTGGATTTCAGTTCCTGTGATGTGTAGTTTTTACATACAAAAATTAGTTTACGATGTCGGATGGTCGCAGTCTCTAATGAGGTTGGCGATGTACACCTTTAAACAGTTGGATCAAAGTAAAGTTGACGGTTACTACGTATTTCTGATTTTGAATATAATTATTTCGGTTAATTTAGCTACATTAAGGGACCAAGGTTATTATGCCTGTATGTCCTGATCACGTGTTTCTCAGATGGTTATCCCTCATGGGTCCAGTGTTACTACAGAAGTAAGCTGGAGTGCCCTTGAGCGGCGGCGGCCCCGGAGGCTAGACAACGTGAGATGTTCCGTAGAGTCACACTGGACAACTCTCGTCTCACAAATGACTCGAGGGGGAGCAAACCCAGGTCGCGGTGGTGTGAGGCAAGAGATGTTTGTTCTGACATGCAGTTTACTTCTTCGGGTAAAATAAGATCTTACAATACTGTGTTAATAATCAGTCCAGTAACAATGGTTTTAAATTAGACAAATTTAGATTTAGGCGTGAAATAGGTAAACACTGGTTTGGAAACAGAGTAGTGGATGAGTGGAACAAGTTACCAAATATCATCATTAACGCGAATACGCTGAATAGCTTCAAACATAGGTTGGATGCTTATATGAGCAATAGGGGTTGGGTGTAAACGGGACTGCCCAGTATGAGTCAATAGGCCCGCTGCAGTTTCCTCCATTCTTATGTTCTTAAGTTAGCATTATTAACAACACGACCATGATAGTTTAACAGGGAGGTGTGTTGTAACTCTTGTACACTGTATTCATTATCATGTGTGTATTATATTTAGACCTTTAAACAGTGTGCTGTAGAGTCGAAATATCCACCTTAGGGAACACCGCAGGAAACAGGTAGTGTTTATATACTCGACGTGCTGTACGGCGATAACAGATGGGATATCCTATACTGTACAGTGTATGCAAATTAAGGTACGTATTTATTTCACGTTATTATTTTATGTACGGATATAAAGTTATTGCTTTCACTGTTTCGCTTACAGTGAACTAAACAGTGGTAAATTGAGGAACATTTTGATTTTTTTGTCGTAATAAATAGTCGACAAAATCATCTCGCACTACACTGGCTACAGATTGTCTCACTATTTCAAGTTGTTGGGCTGCAGATATATCTGTAGAAAGGATTTATGTGAGTCCTAGAGGGACATTCCTGGACCGGGGTGGGGATGACTTATGTCACTTCATCCCTTTGAGATGTATTTTATTTTTTATTTTATTTCAATAAACGTATCAGTCAATCACAGTGAGGGAGTCCCGCTCTCAGATGAACTTGGATTCTGATAAAAAATAAACGCACAAAGCAGCGGTCTAAGGTCCGGTTTTTGAGAGCAACCATACATTTCTTTTGTCCATTAACTTAGTGCTCAGTAAACGTTTACAAGTAAGATAGAGTCAATGAAATTTCTGTGCTATTTTGAGCATTATTACTATGAGGTTAAACCAGCCAGGCAGACGGGTTGTACAGGTAGGAGGAGAACTCAACGTACTTTTCTCTGAGTATCCGGCGCAGCACTTTTGTTGTGGTGAAGAAAAGACCCAAAGCTGACCCAATTAGTGGCTGCGTCAACAAGGTTTTCTCTCAAGGCAGTTGTGCCCGGTGGTGGTGGTGGTGTTTATTGTGTACACAAACACCACTCAACAACTCAGGGATTTCGGGTGAAAAATTCGGAAACTTACGAGCCGTGAACAAGGTGTATTGTGTGGAGAACTCGTGTTGTACGAGCGGTATGCATCCAGTGATTTATGGCAGCAACATTGTATCAAAATACCTTGTTAGCTCAAGTAATTTTTTTTGTTTTGTTTATGAATTATTCAAATGAAAGCAGTTTTGTTTTGATAATTACCTCAAATAACATACAGGCGCTGGTATGAGTAGATACAAATACAGATACATTACAGATGCACGTGCAAGTAGAATTTACAGTGTAGATACCTGCACAAGTACAGGTACAGCATAGGTATAAGTACAGTCCCCTTCACTAGTGCGCTTACAGGGGCTCGTCATATATAAACATTCCACAAATCATTATATTGAGATAATTGTTTCAATTTGATTCCATCGTATGTTTACTATTGCGAGTTTCCTTCTGTCGAATATAAACGGACACAGCGCTGCCACACTGGCGAACACCTGTAAACGCACTTGTGAAGGGGACTGTACAAGTATATATACAGGACAGGTACAGGTAATGCACAGGTACAGATACAGTACAGGTACAGATGCAGCACGGGTGCAAGTACAGTTGAGGAACAGCTACAGTTACTCCCACACACTAGCTGTAACATAACAAACCGATAGTGTGCTTCTACGCATCACGAACCTCCACAAGGCGGAGAAAGTCTTCAGTAGGAATTTGTGCTGTTCATTAGATATCTTATTTTCCATTAGACAAATATTGGTCTATAATTTCACCCACAGTTCATTGACCTTCCTGAGGGTCAGCTGGACTTACTCGGACTTGTTCTAGGGAGTCATACATGTGACACTAAGAGATAGTAAGGACTCGCAATAGACCTGGAGATAGTAGTGTAAAGACAAGGTGTTATGGATGATGTCTTGACACCTTTTTTCTGATGATAAATTATTTTTGTAATAGAATGATTTAATATAAGTAATAACGTTTCTTAAACATATAATGGTTATTCCTCCCTTCTCACTATCGTCACTTACTTCCAGAACTTGCGTCTGTAACCGTGTCATCTTTGATCAAGTCATTATAATGCATCCCTCCTCTCCCCACCCCTGATGAGGCCGTCACCTGTTGGAAAGATTAGTCATTCTATACTTTCCAGCGACACACAGCCACACAGAACACACTAAGATGAATACAATACACTGTGGATCTTCCTGTGTTACCTTAGATTCAGTGCTCTGTTATCTTGATTGATATCTCGGTCTGCCTAGTGATGATCCAGTAGTGATGATCCAGTAGTGATGATCCAGTAGTGATGATCCAGTAGTGATGATCCTGTAGTGATGATCCTGTAGTGATGATCTAGTAGTCATAGCTTGGGCTCCTAGAACATTGTGATGATAACTTTTATAGACACTGCTGCAGGATGTTTTTATGACTTTCCCTCATCAGCCGAATAGAAGAAGAAATTTAATGGTGGTGAGTTGATTGTTGCCGTGACAATCACACTCACACACACACACACACACACACACACACACACACACACACACACACACACAGCCTCCAGGGCGTGAATGTGGTCGTCATGCCAAGTTGAGCAGCTCTTCATGTAGATGCTAAGTCCCTCACCCCTGCGTCTACCCACCTCCCTCTCGTGCCCCAACCTAACCCATACCCCCTCCCCCTGCCCCAACCTAACCCATACCCCCTCCCCCTGCCCCAATAACCCACTTGTGAGCAATATAGTATATACCTCCTCCCACTGCCTCTGAACACTAGCATCACAATGTCTCACACTTCGAAATTTTAATCTCCCACTAGGTTCATCGATCTAATAGGTGTGGTGGTGGTGGTATAGCAATATGTTATGTGTGTCTGTCTGTCGGATCCCCTAAGAGATGGTTCGACGGGTTGGTGTGTGGACTCAACACTCCTGGGGATGATGTCTGTCTAGTGGAATTTCTGAAGTCATAATGGCACACACACACACACACACACACACACACACACACACACACACACACACACACACACACACTAATTAGAAGTGATAAAACTCTCTTTGTGTAGTTTTCGATATGTTATTTTTAAGGTTTGGCCTCAGGTGGGAATGCCATTGAAGTTGTTGACAGGAAGTTTCTCTCTTAACTGGATTATTGTTTTTACCTACGTTAAGGTTAATTAAATCTAAAGCACAAGAATTGTTATTTTGTACTGTGACTCAACCATTAGGAAATTGCAGTAGAAGTTTTAACCCGCGTGTGGCCATAAAAGTTAAACCTCCACCAACATTCCACAGTAGACGTAGAGAGCTGGAGTAGTTTATCATAGAGCTTGGGATAGTTGCTGCCTTGGTGACTTCAGTTGTATTCTCCGCCGGGTTTATATTCATTTAAAACTTTATGTATTCTTCCCATTTCTGTAATATAATTAAGTAATGCTCTTCGTCCGTAGTATCAGTTAAGTGTCCTTAATATTTGGAAAACGCGACCGTAGAAGATGTATAGATAGTCTGTACGTGGCAACAGAAGTTTAGGGTGTGCAGTATTTTCGTGGAACTCAGCACTTATGGCAGATGTCACTGATGGATTCCTCATATCATAGACAGGTGTTGTGTGTCTCTCCGAGCCCCAGTATTCGACTGAAGGTATATTCGAGGTAGATATCACAGGTGTTCAATTATTTATATCCATTACAGGTATTATTAACCTAACCTTAAGTGAACCCTGATGGACAGTACAGCTGGTGATTCATCAGCTTAACTCTGGTACAGGTGTTTTAAGCTCCCGGAACCAGCTTTAGGTAAATTGCTTGCAAGGCATCACGTGTTAGTATGCATGTTTGACTGAGCAACATCCTGCGGGGTTGAGGATGGTGGAGAGTTCATGAGGGAGACAGGTAGTAATGATCACCACTCAGTATATACTTAAGGCTTGTTTTTATTTTAGAGGAACATAACAGACGAGGGACCTGCAGCTCCTCATTACCAAGACTTGACTAACTGGAGGAACCCGCCCACAACAACACTACTCGTGGGCGTATGTTGTTGATAGTATGGGCGGGAGGTGGCTAGTTGGGTGGGTTTTTATGGACGGGAATGGGTTGATGTGGAATGGGTAAAGGTTAATATAGGATGGAAATAGTTTGGTGGGATATGGGAGCTGGTTGACGTGGGTCGTGTTGAGGATAGGGTTAAGTAGGTGTTGGATTTCATGATTTGGGGATGGATTGGTGTGGGGTGTGGTTAGTTGAAGAGGGAGGATAGTGGACCTTAGGGTTAGGGTGAAGGGAGGGAGGGATGAGGTAGGATGAGGGTGTTGGGCAGTGGAGGGGCAGGTCTTACACTAAATTGTTGTAGGGGCGAGGAATGAACATTGTCACTGTGAGGGTCAAGTCGTACACGGAACACACAATAAAATTTTTGTGTGTTCACGTGCATCCATCACGTGCACCCACACACAAACACGTACTTCCACACCCACATTTACACATACTGTAGATATAAAAATACAAAGTTTACAAAATATAAAAGTTATATACAGTTTGGTTTACACGGTGAGCAACAAAAATAATAAACAACGTGGATGAGGGTGAGGCTTTACCAACAACACGAAGAAACTCCTGCACACGTGGATGTCACTCACCACTCCAGGTAAAACGCTTGATGGCTGTAGCATAAAGATACGCCGAATTTAACGCAGCTGTAAGGAGAATTAGTCGTATAGGGAAGCATCAGGCGTGGTTTGACGTGGAGAGGTTACGTGCGTAGGAAGGAATCGCGCTGTGGTTTGGTGTCAGGGCAGGGGTCCTTAGGCATATGGAGAGGATTTAACGTAGTTTGACGAAGGGGTAGATGGTGTGGGGGGAGTTACGCGTAAGGAGATGGGCCAGGCTGATACACAGAGGGACCAGGCTGGCTGTACGGGGAGGGGTTGTGTTCTGGGTACACTGCCTGGCCCTCGTAGGAGACCTGAGCCTGGAAGCCGTTGTTGTGGTCGGCCACGTAGGTCACCGTCTGGATGCGACCGTCAGGGAGAGCCACTGTGTAGGACCCCTTCACTGCATTGCCGTCAGAGTTCTCGGAGTGGCCGAAGTTGGCGCCGGAATACGAGTCCTGAACCCCGTAGTCGAAGGCGTACGGCTTTGGTTCCTGCGGGAGGGTCGAGCACTCGGTTAGTGGCTGTTCATACACAGTCTGATGTGTCAATATACTGTACGGTGGAATATATATATATATATATATATTTTATGGTGTCAAGTGTCAATAGTTACAGTGGCAGGTGTCAAAATGTTCAACGTCAAATGTCAAAACGAGAAGTGTCGTGTGTCTAGATATGAACTATAAAATATGGTGCCAGAATATAAAGTCTGAAAGTATAAATGGACGGAGGCAATAATGCACAGCTTGACGCGTCAGAGGTCATGAATAAATCAGAATAAGTGTTGTTGTTCCTGACAGGTTATGACTCGTGTGAGATCCGAGGTAGTATCCGACACGTTAAGATCTGGTGGGGTTCAAGTTGAGGGTAATCTCTGTCTGTCTGTCTGTCGTGTACCAAGAAGGTTACTTACTGGTTTATAAAGTTGGTTATCGGTGTAGACGGGCTGAGGAGCGGGGTAGGACACGAGACCACCATACACAGGAGGACCATCAGGGATAGGAGTGCCCATCACCACACCCATCACCACACTCACCACGACACACGCTACCTGTAACAACAATAACTATATACTACTTAATTAATTAATTTAGGTACAATTAGATATGGATAGAAAATAAGCTTCTTGTTTGTCATAGGTAAGAGAGACAGAAAATACCCAACAGGTTACAATAGTGATGCAAAAATAAGTTAATTTTTCTGGTAGTTCTTGTTCTAGTTGGAGAAATTACATGCATTGTTAAAATCAGTTTTTTTTTTCATTTTAATCGTTTTATTTTTTTTTTATGTTTGGTGATCTTTTCCGCTTTACATCAGATGACCGAAACCAAGAGGAATTACTGATTTTTTTTTTGTAGTTATTTCAGGAAAGATTTTTTATTTTTTTATTAAGAGATAAATAATTTTAGTGCAGGTGATTGTTTGAGAATTATTTGAATTGTGTTTTTTTTTTTGCTTCTTCAGTGTGATTGATGCCTAGAGGGTTTAGTTGTTTGTATATATAGTGTACATGTATACTGTGTTCTCTGGTCAGGCAATCTCCACATACCGAATTTTTCATGACTTCTGTAGCTTTTGAATTTGTTTATGAATAATTTGAGTTCGTTTTTTTTTTCTCATCTGGTGATTCTAAACTTTATATTGTACTCTTATTTAGTGGTTATTTTAACATTTGTATTATAGATTGTGGTAATTTTATCAACATAGGCAACTGAAAAACTGTTATTGGATAGATCGTGTCAGTCTACTATTCGTGGTGAACATTGTGTCGGTCTGAGTTATGCGTTGAACATTGTCTACTGTAAGGGTATTAAGGTCTATATTGACGATGTTGAACTACATTACACACACACACACACAGTTATGTTGTATGTCTGGCTGTCCTTATCGTAGATCTATATTGATGTACCAGGATATTGTGTTTCATTGGTATATTTCAACATACACAAATAGTTACTCAAACTTATTAACTATTTATTTATTTTAGGGTTATAATTTGTCATGTTACGGTCTTGAAAATATTAAATTTTGATGGATTTAGTAATTTGGAGATTTTCAAAACTTCTGATTGTTGTTTTTAATTCAATGCCCTTGTAAAAGTATTAACAGAAGTCAGTCTGTATGCAGTGTCTTCCTCAACACCTATGTTACTTAGTTACTGAAACTCCATCCCAAATTCAGTACCAGTAACAAAACACAATTGGGTACCTGCTAATTCGTGGCTGTCACAGTGTCTTGCCTTGGGGGAACACATCCTTGGTTCTAAAGTTGTTGGAAATTTGTTTTTTGGACCTACATATGTTTATGTACGTCTTTACACACACACACACACACACACACACAGTATCGTGTTCCCTTAAAGTGTCCAGCGTGATAAAGTGTTGCAATTGACTCCTTAAAATTTCGTGCACAACATGATGACTCATCTTCTGTGCAGACTTTTAGTGTCTAGAGATCTCACCTTCACTTGTACAACGTGATGGTAACTGTAAGCTCATCTTCACACACACACACACACACACACACACACACACACACACACACACACACACACACACACACACACACACCCAACATGATAGTAACTGTACGCTCATCTTCACCTGTACAGCATGATAGTGACTGTACATTAACCTTCACCTTTACAATATGATAGTGACTGTACGTTCATCTTCACCTATACAACATGATAGTGACTATACATTAACCTTCACCTGTACAGCATGATAGTAACTGTACGCTCATCTTCACCTGTACAGCATGATAGTGACTGTACGCTCATCTTCACCTATACAACATGATAGTGACTATACTTTAACCTTCACCTGTACAGCATGATAGTGACTGTACGCTCATCTTCACCTATACAACATGATAGTGACTATACTTTAACCTTCACCTGTACAGCATGATAGTGACTGTACGCTCATCTTCACCTATACAACATGATAGTGACTATACATTAACCTTCACCTGTACAGCATGATAGTGACTGTACGCTCATCTTCACCTATACAACATGATAGTGACTATACTTTAACCTTCACCTGTACAGCATGATAGTGACTGTACGTTCATCTTCACCTATACAACATGATAGCGACTGTGTATACTGCCTCACCTTGAACATGACTTGAGAGAGACGGTGGACGGTGTAGCTGACGATCTGAGAGGAACTGTGGTAGCCAGTGGTTGGTCCTCTGGCTTTATATAGCGACCCCCTCCTTCTCTCTCGCATGCACAGACACACGCACACACGCCAAGCTCCCATAGTGATCGCACACACTTACATACTCACATAAGTGTGTGTCTCGGAGGCATAACACTTAGATAAGCTCGAGTACATTTTAGTTCCCCACCGTGCATTCATACACACGCACGCACACATGCACAAGTGTGAGTGCATATCTGGAGGTACATACATACATACATACATTCATAAATACATACATACATACATACATACATACATACATACATACATACATGCATGCATAAAATTTACATGAACAAATAATAAAAACGCCATAGCACACACACACACACACACACACACACACACACACACACACACACACACACACACACACACACACACACACACACACACACACACACACACACATATATCATAATGCCTGTCTATGATCTGAATATTTCCCATAACACAAGGACACGCAGAATGGGGTGACCTTCCTGGACCTACAATTTCAATTTTATCTTGACATAGTTAGTGTCAGTAACCCTCACTGACACGGTGTATCGAGGTTATAGGGAGATTAAGCATCACTGAATGGCATGGCGTAGTAATTTATAGCATTTATTTATTTATTTATTTATTTATTTATTTTTAGTATTCACCAATTACTGTATATTGATGTGATTGTAGTTCACCACACACACACACACACACACACACACACACACACACACACACACACACACACACACACACACACACACACACACACACACACACACACACACACACACACACACACACACACACACACACACACACACACACACACACACACACACAGGCAATAGCATCAACTACATATTGTTTATAGTTTACCTCTGAATGATTCCATAGTAACATCAAAGTGTAAACAAAAACAATTAAAGGCCATAAAATCATAACAGAACAGGTGTCTCTTAGAAGACGTAAACAACCTGAGATTGGTCATCAAACACCACGAGAGTAAACAAATGGGTGTGGGTTTCATGTGTGGTTTCAGTGATGTGTATGGTGTGGTGTGTGTGTGTGTGTTTGTGTGTGTATTGTATTTAAACTTTTCTTCTATAGCATCAATCGTAATAATAATATTAAAATAATTATTTAAACTTTACCTATGAATATACCAAGTCCAATGGTAAGGCTTCGTGTCAAAGGTCAATTTCACAGGTGGAAAACACATATGTGTGTACGTTTATCCTTATGTAAGTTCTATGTGAGTAAGGCTACGATCGTTCAGAGGCTGACTGGGAGAATAATTTGTCACCCGCTTGAGGCAGTGAGCATTTGTTACAGAGGAATGATAAGTGACAGTACACTTGGTTACAGAGGAATGATAAGTGACAGTACTCTTGGTTACAGAGGAATGATAAGTGACAGTACACTTGGTTACAGAGGAATGATAAGTGGCAGTTTGATGTTATATTCATGAGGGCCGAAGAGGTGGTCCAGGTTAACATTATTGGTAGTCCAGGGAAGACAGTGGACGCTTCGTGACACTTGTTAACCGCAAGTGAAGGATACAAAAATATCTCTTGAATTCCACGTTGTACTTTAAAGATAAAATCATAAACCCAAAATCCCACGCTGGAATTTAGAGGACTCAGTTTAACCTTTGGTATAATAAGACGCATTTGGTGATAATTTAATAGTTCTATCTATCTATCTATCTATCTATCTATCTATCTATCTATCTATCTATCTATCTATCTGTGTATCTATCTATCTATCTATTTTTTTTAGTGTTTGTTTACATAGAGGGCACTTGCTGCACTCACGCTCGAGGCTGTAACAGTCACATCTCAGGGCATCGGCCACATGGTCCTGACGTCATGTTATCACACACAAGCTGCGACATGATCAATACATTCTCTCTCTCTCTCTTTTATTGTCTGAGTGTTTGTGAGTCAGGTGGGCTTTGACGACCACACTTTAGGAATATGAACGACCAAGTCTCCCGGAATGTAGGTGTACTACTACTACTACCACCACCACCACCACCACCACCACCACCACCTTCTCAATGGAGGTTCGAACCCTGGTCCTTTGGAATTACCTGCCTAGTTTGAAACCAGAAGCTATAAATATAAGACACTCCAATACCTACAGTTTAAGGAAAAAAACATGGATCACAGGCAGCAGTTTATACTTCATCCATGGAGTGATTACTTTGACGTCACCCTCGAACTGATAGGTAAAACAGTTCTTCTATTCGACGAGGTGGTTTTAAGAAGTGACATCTGGCTCTTTAAAGAATTCCAAGAGATGACTATAAGGATGACCATTGGTTTGTGTGTTGGCGTTGGCGTGAAGGAGGAGATTAAGTTTGGGGGGAATAGACGTCATGATTTGTTGGGTGTGGCGGCGGCGGCGGCGTCACCAAGGAGGAGGAGGAGAAGGTACGAGAGAGGAATTACTACTTGAAGACGACGTTGTTACATCATGGTAGGTCGTCGTCGTCAGTAGCAGTAGCAGTGAGAGTCATCACCGTAATGCGAGTACTGTACTGTTCCCTATAGCCTTCACCTGCGTCTTGTGTTTAGTCTCGCCAGCTCAGGTAGACTCATCAAAAACCTCGTGTGGGAAGGATTCTGTCAGTGAGAGTTTTTGCATGAACACGAAGGATTAAGGATTCGACAGGTAGATTTATTGTGATCAAGTAATGATTAAGGATTCGTCTGACTTTTTTTTTATGGAAGGGAAGGATTGGAACTACCTACTTTTTTATGCTTGACAATGATTTATCAGGTAGTGATTTGTATGCAAGGGAAGAGTTTGTTAAGTAGAATTTCGTATCCACATAAGGGAAGGTTTTAACATGTAAAGATATCGACTCTTGAAGTTACACCTGAAAGAAGGATTTTGTCAGGTAAAGAGTTCGACTCAGCAAGACACCTGAGAGAACTAATCGGTATTTACAAAGGTGTGTTACTCAATACTGACGTCACTATGAAAAATATTCAGCATCACTCACATGAGGGATATGGCTTGTGCCTTAGTTATATTGCTCAATACAAACACAAAGGAGGGAAAGTAAAGTACTGCTCATTTTCTCAGTAATAGTATGTAGGAAAGATTTGTCTTGTATTTACACTGCGTCAGTTGGTCAGTACTGGTATAAGGAATAATCGTTTGGTTTGTTAAGTACAGCTCTCGGTGTAGACGTGAGTGAAAGATACTGTCATGGGACTCTCTGAAAATGATACATACGACACATTAAGCTTGAGAAACAAATCCCCCTCGTCGTAATTTCTTTCTTTTATAATACTCCCAGCTAATATGAGTCGCCTAATGTGTACACCTTTCTTACCTGTTATTGCCAGGGGGGATTTTGATGGTAACTGTCATGCATATTGTTGATGAGGGCGAGAATGTGACGTTATGGTGATGGATACTCGTGTTATGGTGACAGCTGATGGTGTTATGGTGTTATTGTCACAGCTGTTGGTGGTGTTGGTGATCCAATTGTTTCTATGAGAGCTTGGAGATGGTGTTCATTCGTCTGTGAAGGAAGAAATCGCGTTAAAGTTTCCATTTGGTGTCTGATATTACTACCTTCAGTGGAGCTATAGTTCAATAAATCAATCTATTATGTTATTGTGAGTTATGGACAGTTTTCTTTACCTGTGTGTTGAGATGTGCGTCAGGTGGGGAAGACCTGATCAAGGCTGGTTATGCTTGGAGCTACTGTACGACTTCTCTTATTCTCGTGATTTTGATTGATGGCAAACTTGACTCTTTGATTCGTGTGTTGTAGTGGGAACAATACTGAACATCTCAAACAAAGAATCTCGCCACCGAGTTGAGTGAACTAGACACATATTGTAAACGGCATGATAGTTGAGTGAAGGTCGGTGTCATCACATTTCCCGGATGGTTGGTGAAACTTGGTATTTACGATTTTGTTAGGAATTAATAACGATTATTACAACGATAAACATAGTTAGATCAACAGTGTGTGATTTATTTCGTGTTATTGGTGATTGGTTAATGGATAATGCCACTATTTGTATAAGTTTGGCCTGGTGTGGTTTTTTTTTTTATTATTATTTACACTTTTTAGGATTGGTGACTGTCAGTGTGATTAATGCCACATTTTTGACTGAATAATCTTGGTTACTGATGATTGACTGTTTCCAACGTGTGAGTGTAAGAACAGCAACGTTTGTTTATGGTTTGTGTATTCGTATTGACTTCTATGTGACAGTAAACAAGAGACCAGTGTTGATTGAATAACTAAAGATCACCAATAAGTTATGTTTTTGTTTGCAGTTTAGTGAGTGATTATTTTGTTTATGTAACTTTATGAATGAATGACTATATATCGTGTAAATGTAAATACAGCGAGGTGTTATACATTTTTCTAAGGATTAATAAAAATAAATTATCTTTACTGTTTTATCAAGAGTGAATGACGATTTCTAGTGGTAGAGTAATAGAAGAACTTATGTTTAAAACTTTATGAGTGATTTATTTGTTGACGATACTAGTAAATGATGATTGATAGTGTAGTATGATCACATGTTATTGTTTCCACGTGTAATTGTTTACGCTTTTACGATTACCTGTGTTGTCATCGTGTGTATGTGTGTGTGTGTGTGTGTGTGTGTGTCAGACCGAGAGTAGTGGGAGTGGCAGGTAGGTTGGGCACTCCCTCGTACACCAGAACAACAATACCTGCTGGAGCGTGAGAGCGGTGGCCAGCCTTTCACAGTTCTCCCAGGACTTACCTGCCTGCTCACCTGGCGGTCTTCACACGCTAATTACACTGGATGGTGGCCTCTACCTGTGTGAAGGGGATGGGAAGGGGAATGTAATTATTGTGTGATAATGATCGCTGTTGGGAGAGCTTCATCAGAGTGTCCATTATAATGAGAAAAAAAACGGGTTTGTTGATTACAGGTGTGTCGGGGGAAAGGTATTTAAGTGTGTTATTGGGTGCGTTTGTGGGAATTAGTGTGATAGTAATTGTGTAATGAGTTAA